ATATATATATATATTTTCCCACTGTTTAGATATTCTGTGTTGGAGCGTCGTTGGACCCAAATGTTGACCAGCTCTCTGGATGAAGGTTCAACTCCCAGTGCTCGCTATCACCACGCCGCATCACTGCTGACCGGATATGAGCCTAGCTCTGGCACCCATGAAGGTGGTCACAGCGTCATGTTAGTCGTAGGTGGCGTCACTCAAAAAGGTGTGGCCATGGATACCTGGAGTCTCAATCTTAGCAGCTTAGTCTGGAGAGAACATAAGGTTAGGATTTAAATTTTAATGGAAATAAAAGATATCTTTATAAAAACAAGAGTCAAGTTGTACCTGAGTGAAATTTAATTGTAGTTTTTTTCCTTTTTCAGAGCTCAGTGCTGCCTCCGGTGGCAGGTCACACTTTAACTGTACGTCGATACTCTTCAGTGCTGCTGATTGGAGGTTACTCTCCTGAAAATGGCTTCAATCACAATCTACTGGAGTTCAGCTCTCTAACTGGGAACTGGACAGTTGCCCCCCACACTGGCACACCACCTACAGGTTTTTAAAAGCATTTCCWTTACATTGTATCCGTGTTTATAGTTGATGCACTTTTTTTTTATTAAAGTGTGTGAAAGAAATGAGAAGATGAATAAAGATTCAGCTAAATAATTTCTTCCACTCAGATCTGATTCCTCATGTGTTCTTTAATCAGGTTTATATGGCCACTCGGCAGTATACCATGAGCAGACTGATGCCATTTATGTATTTGGAGGCTATCGCTTTCATGTGGAGTCAGTGGAGCCATCAGGCGAGCTTTACAGTCTGTATTATCCTAATCTTACCTGGTCTCTCTTGGTTCCCTCACAGGGTAATAAGGTAGGTGCCTTTCTATCCTTATCATATCTAGACAAGCAAACAGTCATATGAAATGTATCAAATTAACTTATTTTTTGTTTACTACATTGTTTCTTTGCTGTGTAGCCCTTGCCCCGTTTCTTCCATGCTGCTGCTTTGATTAAAGATACTATGGTTGTTGTGGGTGGGAGGACGGAAGCAGAAGACTACAGTAACTCTGTGTCTCTGTACCAGATCAACTGTAACACCTGGATACAACCAGGTGACTTTCTTAAAGTTTGACTACAAATTAGTTTTTAGACATCATACTATCTAAACCTAATTGCTTTTCGGTTCGTTTGTTTTTTCAGTCTCAGCCACAGGAAATCCAGTAAATCGCTCAGTGTCTCTTGCCATGACGAGCTGGGGCGGTCGCCTTTTCCTGTCAGGTGGCTTCAATGGGGTCACTCTAGGCAGGCTCCTAACTCTAACTGTGCCCTCTGACCCCTGTGCCCTGCTGCCTACACAAGACGCCTGCAACAGCACTACAGGAAGCTGCATCTGGTGTAGAGGCACTTGTGCTTCTTCTGATATTGCTGAAAGGTAACATGTTTGCCAACAAAAATGATCGAGTTATATACGTTATCTTTCATACTTTATCTGTAGCTAGTAAATAAAATAATTTGATATAAAACACTAACTCCTCTTCTCCATCAGAATGGGTTGCTTCTCTGCGCAGTCCGCCTGTTCACCAACTCCTCGTCAACCAGATCAGTGCCGCAGACTAAAGACCTGCAGCGAATGCCTCGCAAGACACCCTAAAACATTTTCCAGTCCAGCACAGGTAACGTACAACACAGTCTTATTCTATCACAGCCACAGACATGAACTTACTAATATGTTCTTTCCCAGCCTGCTTTACAGTGCAAGTGGTGCACAAACTGTCCAGAAGGGGCTTGTATTAGCAGCTCTGTCAGTTGTACGTCTGAACACGACTGTCGGATCAACCAGAGAGAGATTTTCCTGTCCAGCAACTGCACTGAGACGAGCTGCGAGGCTTCTGACTGCCCCAAATGTACCGCTTCTGGAAAATGCATGTGGACAAGGCAGTTCAAACGTACAGGTACGTAAGCTGTGATGGTGTCTAGGTGTTCATTTTGCAGCTGTTGCTTGATGTATATTTAAAATAAGCACAAATACTAAAACATTCCTAATCAGGAATAAACGACTACACAATGCAGCTTATTTATCAGTAATAATGTTTTTTTTTGTTTAATTCCTGTAAATGTTTTGAGTATTAAATGTTTGTTTGTTTGTTTGTTTTTTTAGGCGAGACAAGGCGCATCCTGAGTGTAAGCCCCACTTACGACTGGACCTGTTTTAGCTACGCTCTGCTCAACGTCTCACCCATGCAGGTGGAGTCATCTCCCCCTCTGCCATGCCCTCCACCCTGCCACAGTCTCCACAACTGCACCCTCTGTCTGGGCTCTAGAGGCTCTGATGGGGGCTGGCAGCACTGTGTTTGGAGTATGGCTTTGCAAAAGGTAATTTTGGAGCACCTTTTGTTTTTTGATTCAATAAAAATAAGGCTCATATCTAGCAAACCTTCTTTTTTGTAGTGCATGAGCCCATCCTTCGTGCCCCTTCGCTGTGAAGCTGGTCAGTGTGGTCGGCTGCTCTCTGGGGGGGACTTCTGCTCTCCCAACTGCTCCCAGCTCACCCAGTGTTCCCAATGCATTGCCMGGCCTCAGTGTGGCTGGTGTGCTTCAAGGGGGGCCAACGGGGCTGGTCACTGTTTACAAGGAGGACTTGATGGTGAGAAAAGTATTTGGTTAGCAGGTTTATGATGGCTTGTCTTTTAGGAAGTTACCAATTTGGTGTTATAGAATTTTTGTCACTATTTTATTTTATTTTTTTATTGTTTCAGGTGTGAGTGAGGGTATTTGCCCCTTAAAAAACAGCAGCTGGTCTTTTCTCCATTGTCCAGAGGAGGATGAGTGTGATAATGGCCATCATAACTGTAACAGCACTCAGGACTGCCATGACCTACCTGAGGGATACCACTGTACCTGCAAACATGGTTATGTACTCAGCAGGTAATAAATGAGGATWGATATTAAAAATAGTCTGTTCTTCATAGGGATTTGACATGTTTAYCCTCATCTTTTTTTTCTGTTTAGTGTTTCTGGTCAGTGTGAGCCAGTGTGTGCACAAGGTTGTGTGAATGGAACATGTGTGTCCCCTGGAGTGTGCCAGTGTCACTTTGGTTTTGTTGGAGACAACTGCTCCTCTCAATGCAGCTGCAACAAGCATAGCAACTGCGCTGGTGTAAACAAGCCAGACGTTTGTCTCAAGTGCCATAATAACACCATAGTGAGTGTTTAAAACAAATATCAAATTACATGAAGTCACTTTTCTTATACTTGTCAAAACTGATTCATTTTTGCCTTATTTCCAGGGTAAACATTGCGAGAAGTGTAAGCCTCTGTTTGTGGGATCTGCTAAAGGCGGTGGTACTTGTCGTCCATGTCGAGACTTTTGCAAAGGAAACAGTGTTGTGTGTTTGTCTCGGGATGAACATAATAAGGCCCTTGATAACCCCCGTCTGTTCCCTCTGGATCCCAGCAGTGTAAGTATCTTCTTGTTTTGTCCTTCTCTTGATACATTGTGACAACACGTACATCTGTAAGGTTGTTTTACTTTGTTTGTGTTTTAAAATGTTACCCATGGTCACTCTTTTAACTTCAATCATTCATCAGATTCAAAACTGGGTGTCTGAGGGTCCCACTGAAGAAAACGCTGTGTGTGTGAACTGCCAGAACAATAGTGTTGGGGACAAGTGCGAGAGCTGCCTTATTGGCTATTTCCTACTGCAGGGGAAATGTGAGAAGTGAGTATAGCTTGCTGCTGAGCGGGCAGTGAATTGTTACGTATCATTTTCATTATCCTTTTAAAAGTTTTGTTTATGTTCAATTGCATTGTCCTGACAGCTTGATATGCCAGGCAACACAGCAAATGTTGCAGAAAGACAGTCTAGATCTATTGGAAATACGTTTTGTTTTTCAGTTGGTAGTTAAAGTTTCCTCTTCGTTGCAGATGTCAATGTAATGGCCATGCAGACAGATGTAATGAACATGATGGGACAAACTGCCCCTGTCAAAACAACACAGAGACCTCATCGTGCCTCAGTAGCCCTCCGAATGATAGAAAAGACTGCTACAGGCACCAGGTAAGAGATTAGATTCAGATTTTATAGAATGTTTTTTGTAACATTAAATTTTTAATTTATCTAAGTTATTAAAGGATTTAAAATGAAGGGGAAATTTACTGGATTTTGCTCTGTTTGTTTGTTTTGCTCTTCCATTTAGTGTGCCAAGTGCAAAGACTCCTTCAATGGCAACCCAGTGAACGGGCATCAGTGCTACCGTCAGTTTAATGTGGACACAGAGTACTGTTTCGATCCCACATCCCAAACAAACTGTTTCCACGACCCCACCATTCGCAACCTGCCCAAGGGTCGCACCGTGTTCTTTGCCGCTCAGCCAAAGTTTACGAACGTGGACATCCGGGTCACCATTGATGTTACCTTTGGAGAAGTGGAAGTGTATGTGTCTAACTCACACGACACCTTCATTGTTGACGTGAACAGCTACACAGGAATCCACACTATCAAAATAGACGAGGAATCTGTCAGAAGCGGGGCAACTGCAGCCGATAAGGATTCTCCTCCATCTCCTATTAAAGTGTTTGCCAATGGTTCGTCTAATCTGGGAGGTCCCATGCTCTCCCAGAACCCACTGCAGCTGCAGGCCAAACCTCCAGGACCAGAAAGAGAGATCAGAGAGGAGCGAGCTGAAGGACTCATCTCCTACATAACTGTGTTGAAACCACAGACGGTACTGATTGTCCGAGGAGTTCGGGATCGTGTGGTCATCACGTTCCCTCATGAGGTGCACTCCCTGAAATCTAGCCGCTTCTACATCGCCGTTAGAGGCGTGGGAACCGATGAAAGACAGGGCGAGTCCCAGGGCCTGCTGTTTCTGCGTCAAGACCAAGCCCACATTGATCTCTTTGTCTTTTTCTCCGTTTTCTTCTCCTGCTTTTTCCTCTTCTTGTCGGTCTGTGTTCTCCTGTGGAAGGTTAAGCAGTTCCTGGACTTCCGTCGAGAGCAGCGTCGCCACATTCAAGAGATGACTAAAATGGCATCCAGACCATTTGCTAAACTTGCCATATACCTTGAGCCGGAGGAACCTCAGCTCATCTACCTTCCTTCGACTGGCGGAGGGGTGGGAGGCAGCACCGTATCTCTTGCTCATGCCCGCACAGGGAAGTTAGGTGGAGTAGTCGTGGGGCAGAGAGGAAGAGCAGGACCAGTCTCCTATAAACATGACCCAAGCTCTGGACCCACAGCCCACCTGCACCACCATCACCACCTCACCTTGAGCGCAGGAGGGAACAGTGGACAGCACCTACCACTGCACTACTTGAACACTCATCACTACGCCAGCACTACAGCCGGAACCCAGGCCTCCCTTCATCACCATCCATCCACATATTCTGGCTACCAGCACTTCTGTCGCTCTGACCCTTTCCTATCACAGCTCATGGGCTTTTCCTATTCCTCCTTTAAGGTGGGGCCCATCACCCTCGAGCCCACAGAAGACGGCATGGCTGGGGTGGCCACCGTCCTGTTCCAGCTGCCCGGGGGTGTCTTGGCTCCAAACCGTGCCTGTTTGGGCTCTGCGCTGGTCACTCTGCGCCAAAACCTGCAGGAATACTGTGGTCATGGCAGTGGAGGGGGGCATCCAGGGGTGGGTGCAGGGCGCAAAGGGCTGTTAGGACATCAGCACCTGACAACTATGGCTATGTAGGAACACAAGCAGCAGAAAAGTATAAAATATTGCAGAGATGTAAAGTGTTAAAATAATAGGAAATAATTTTTGAAAGAAATTTAACAAAATTTWAAAAAAAAAGACAGAGCCCAAAAGAACTAGTTACTGTACATTCAGTCAGTGACCGTGACATTTTTCAACATAAATGTACATACACTGTATGACGAGAAAACACTCTTTTAWTGTATGATGTATTGCTAAACTGTATTCCAGTGCTTCACACGACCARTTCAGCTGTCCTTAGAATGAACTACAGTAATCGACAAAACAAATGCAGATATTGCCCGCTCATTAAAGAAGTAGGAGAGCACTACAGCAGGACTCATTAAGAATATAGKCGCTAAAAAAGAAACAATGTTGCGTGCTTTGAAACCAACATGTGCTTTACACCCAAAAAAAGTGACAAACAATCAAGAATGCTATTGAAAATAGTCGACTTTAAAACATAATTCGCAAACTGTKGATTGACTGTCAGCGCAGTGCAGGAAAAACAAACTCAGTGTTGCTTGTGAGATGGTTTTATATCAGTCAATATTAGTGATTTATAATTGTAACTCARTATATGGCTGGCTTCAAAGCTACGTTTCGGTTATAAAGACTCTTGATTATGTTGTTGCATATTTATTCACATGCTCTGTTACAAGATTTGTCTCATCTGCCTTCACTTCTTGCCTTGTTTTTGAGCCAGTGGGCTTGTTCGCAATGCTTTTGTTATGTGTGTGTGTGTGTGTGTGTGTGTGTGTGTGTGTGTGTGTGTGTGTGT